TTTTTTTTTTTTTTTTTTTTTTTTTTTTTTTTTTTTTTTTTTTTTGTTTCTTTAATGTTGCCCGTCAATACCTTTTAATCTATGACGATAACTTTGCAGACCCCATGTGGTCCAGCGGTGGCGGCGCTGATTGTATCCACTTTTGAGGTTTGATCCTCCCACAGCACAACAATATTAATATTTATTTAATTATTTTTTATTGAAAAAAAAAATCTATTACGATAACTTTTTAAAACGAAAATAAAAACAATGACAATAACGCCGGAGACTGGAGCCTAACCTAACTCTTAAATCAGGTCAAAATACAGATTTTATGAAAAATTATTTAGCACTGTAATTTACATCGGTATAATTTAATTCAAACCCTTAAATTATTACTTTAACTATTTTTTATTTCAAAATTTTTTTTGCTAGGATTGTACATTAAATTATTAATTGAGCTTTTCTAGCTTGTGCACTTATGTTAGAAAACTTTTATTAATTTAGAAATGTTTAATTTTTTAAATTAAAAATTAGATTTAATTTAAACTTATTTAATCTATATTTAGACTTAAAAGAGGCTGTAGTTATGTAGGGCTACACAGGTTTTCAGATATTTTATTAGTTTGTATTTTTTTTTAAAACAATTAGTTATAATAATTTAAAATATCTATTTATAAACTAACTTCAATTTATTCAATAATAAATATCAATTGTTCTATCAACTATCAATGCATTATTCTTAATAGCTAAGTTAAGATAAAAATTAAACAGTTTTCATGACTCTAAAAAAATATATGGGTGGCCATAACTAAAACCCTTAAAAGACTTTAATTTACAATTTATTATCAGGAGGAAACGAGTTAAACGTCCAAGCTAGAAATTATCGTTATATCATTAATGAGATATGCTTATATGCATGCTGATATTAAGAATTTATAATAGGATAGTACCAACAGACACCTCATGCCCTTTGAATACGATGAATTGTTACAAATACCCTCATTTACATACGTCGAGGCCGATTGTGACAATAGGCTCAATACTATCTTTTCTTTTTTTTCTAAAAACGAAAAAAAAAA